CTGTTGGATGTGCGGAACCATCTCCAACAGACCCTGCCACCTTCCCGGGCTGTTGGATGTGTGGAATCATCTCCAACAGACCCTGCCACCTTCCCGGGCTGTTGGATGTGTGGAATCATCTCCAACAGACCCTGCCACCTTCCCCGGGCTGTTGGATTTGCGGAATCATCTCCAACAGACCCTGCCCGGCTGCTGCTCTCGGCATGTGCGCCTTGGGTCAGGCTCTCGCTGTATTCCAGAACGGGGTTTGCTGTTTGCTCCTGCTGTGCCTGAGCTGTGCTGCTGAAGAGCTCTTGTCTGGTGATTTCAATGCACTGATGGTTTCAATGCACTGATGATTTCAATGCTGAACCTCCCAGCTGGGTTAGCTGTGTGTTCCACAGTGGGCAGAGACTGCTCAGGCTGCAGTCCTGGAACCCCCAAGCATTCATACATTGTTCTGCAGGAGTGTAGCAACTGGCCTTCTGTATTCTGACTGATATAGTAGAATTGTTTAATATAAAAAGAAACATTTTGATTTCTAATTTAAACTTAATGATGATAGGTGTCTGAAAGAAGATCCAGCAACGATGTCTTTGCTACAGAGGAGTCTGGATCCGGAGAAGACTTTGGGGCTAGTAGATGTGCTCTATACTGCTGTGTTTGATATACACAGGTGGAAGGAAGGAAGGTACATCTTTTTTTTCTATTTAAACTAAGCTGTCATTGTTGAATAATCTATGCTGAGGGATTTAATACTTGTCAGAAAGGAAAAACAGGAGTCAAATTGAGAGCAAGACATTGTTTAATCCCCACAGATACCTTATGGGTATATCCAGAGATTCAGGAGGCTGCTTAAAACCAAACCAGCAGCTAATCCAAGGGTAAAAAGGTATTTTCTTCTCTYTTACAAAAATACTTGATTTGTGTTAAATTGGTTTCCATTTAGGTCTTGAACCACAATTAAAATTTAAAGAATGGAAAGTACTGCAAATAAGAGTAATAATTTATTTTGTTACCATAAGAAGTAGCTGATGGATTTGGCAGTCTTTGGTGTCAAACATTTCTTTCTTTAGCTGTTAACAAAATATATGTTTTCCCCCAAAGTATAAACTCAGTTATGTATTAGATGGTTTGATATACATGGTTTTTGTTGATGCAGGGAGCAAGCTTTGCCTTGTATTCAGATCCAGCTACAGCGTGAAATCTCAGACTTTGGGAGTCAAGTTGATATGCCATCAGGGAATGGAAGCAAATCTTCAGGGGGTCTGCAAAAGACATTCTCAAAACTGACTTCACGGTTTACAAAAAAAACTTCCTGCACCAGTACAAGTAACACGGGAAGTTACTCAATCCCCAATACACCTTCCAAAAATGTCTTCATAAGTTCCAGCTCAGAGGAGAAAGCTAAAATGCCCAGTAACATGGACGCACGCTTGCAGAACATCCTGAACATTGGTAACTTCCCGCGGAGCACRGATCCCCTGCAGTCAGTGCAGAGCACAAACAACCAGCTCAATGGCTTTCTGGTGGAAAGACGGGACAGCTTCTTCAAACCAGATGATGGCAAGGATGACAAAGGTATGAATTTACCAACTGACCAAGAAATGCAGGATGTTATAGATTTCTTGTCTGGTTTTAACATGGGCAAATCCCAGCAGACTTCTCCGATGGTGAAAAGAAGGAACTCTGTTGCATCCTCTACAGCAACAGAACAAAAGTCAGGAGCAGTTCAACAGCAGCCGCAGTCTGTGTCTCACACCTCACTGCATCCTCCTCAGCAAGGCTTGTCACAGCAGCAGCAGCAGTCCCAAAAGCAGCAGCAGCCACAAATGCAGTATTACCAACACTTGCTTCAACCTATTGGACCACAGCAACGTGTACCTGCCAAATGGCTCAGTAATTCTTCACAGCAGCAAGCCCAGGCTGTTGGAGCTGGATTGTCTCATCTGAATCAGTGGAACAATCCTGGTTTTTCAGATTTAAGCTCTGATTTGTACAGCTTGGGTCTTGTGAGCAGCTATATGGACAATATGATGTCAGAGATGTTAGGACAGAAACCACAAGGACCTAGAAACAACACATGGCCAAATCGTGACCAAACTGATGGAGTGTTTGGAATGTTGGGAGAAATCCTGCCTTTTGACCCTGCAGGTGTGTGTCTTTTCTTTTATTATGCTTTTTGTAAGGGTCTTTTGCAAAACAATACTGTGAAATATTGCTGGCAATAATTGTCATCTCCTCGTGCTGCCCACCAGATGTGAGGGTGCTGACCAATGCCAAGCATGGATTYGTGTATGTGCCTTTTTGCTTTTTCAACAGCAAAAAGTCCTAAAGTACAAGCAACTTTCATTAATAAGCAAGCAAATTCCTTGTTTCTTGTCCCAGTTGTAGTAGTTCTGACCTCCCCTATATGGCAGTATATGTACTGGAAAGATGTACTGGAAAGCAATGTACTGGAAAGATACTTACAGATGATGTTCCTCCTATTCTTAGTTTGTAAAGTTTTTWAAAATCAAATTCTTGCGCTTAGGTGTTCTCTCTCTCCTCAAAATTATTCCTCCTGCTCTTTACCAGTCTTGTAAATTGGAGATACAGCCAGATTGCATCTTTCCCATATCCCCATATTTTCCCTCCTTTGCTCCCCAGTTCCATGGGAATCACCCTAGTTCCTGTTCCACAGTTGTTTCTGCAGTGAAATGGATGTCAAAGGATTAGAGACTAAAGAGCAAGTGCCACGAGGTTTGCCACATTTGTTTGGACCACCAGTAAATTGTAAATATAGATTAATTATTCATTCTCAAAGATGAAGTGCGATCAAATTTTAGAGTAATGTGGAAATAGCTACAGACCAGGAAATCAACTGTAGAATCTAAGAGGAGATGAATGTTCCATCCGCATGTGGCCATTGGTTTGACAGTTGGACTTCMTGATCCTTGTGGGATTCTTCCAACTCAGAATGTTCTGTGATTGTGTGATCTAATTGCAGTATTAAGAACAATTTACACAGCTGCTACCTTGTAAATGTAGCTTCTGTTGGCCTGGACCACAGCTGCAGGGATGTTGTAGTGTGCATTTATGGCAGCTGCCTGGAGGGAGGAGCATGAGAACAGGGAAACCTTTTATCAAAGCACAGCTCAGTTTCCTGCACTCATTTGCACTCGTCTGTGTTTGGAATGTGTAGGCGTCTCAAASCAGCTCCTTTGACTCATAATTATGATAGTTATTTTGTCAGCTGGGTTGATAAATTAGTGGAGTTTCTATGGCAAAAATAGCCATCATAGTTAAGTTGTTGCTGAACAATTGTAAGTCTGAATTAGCATCATTTTACTTAAATTTAGGGCATAGACTTAAGGACATTTTACTTAGGGCATAGACTTAAGGACTATCACAGCCCCTAAGGAAGGACAAAATTATTTTCAGCAAGTGCTAAATCCACGTGCATGTAGGGAAAAGAAAGCAGGTATGCAAAGGACTGGCATTTTCAGCATTTTGAATCCATTATATTTCTGTAGTATTTTCCTTTCGAGGATGTAGGAAGTGGCACTTGGAAAAGGTGACTTAGTCAGTTTATGCTTTAGTGTATTACAAAAAGATTAAAACAGAAAACAGTTTTTCATTTCCAGGCTTTCCTAGGACTGTACAGTTGTCATTTGAAACAAACCATATTACTTTTTTGATAAGTACTTTTAGATAGAGTCTGAAAATTTTGTCTCTATTCAGATGCAAAACTGCTGGTTAAGAATTTATAAAATTGATGGCTTTTCATGTCAAAGGCTTAACCAGTCCCAAAAATGTATTTTGTAGTACTTTATCACTAAGAGGCTGATGGAGGAATGTTGCAATAAGAACTAGCAGAAGGAATGCTGGTAACCCCAATCTTTTGGAGTAAAAAACTGTCTGATAAAAAACTGTTCACCTGATGTTTTAGTCAGATAAAAATGAACACAAGTTTCTATTTTGAATATATGAGTACTTTAGCACTTAAAGCTGTCCAGAGGTAACAAAGCCTGGATGCCCTTTAGAATCCATCTAGACTATTCTTAGATTTGAGGAGCTGTCTGGCTTCCAACGTCATCTTAAATAGACATAAAGATATTTCAGAGGGAGAACGTGCACTAGTGGGGATGTTTTGTTCTGGATGGCTCTCAGATAGCCTTTGCTTAATAAAGGRTGCAGAGAAACAAAGTTACCTTTTTCACTGTCTTTTTAATTTGCATCCAACAAAACATGGAGCTTTTTTCTGGATGTGTCAAATGAAAACAAGGAAACTTATCTTCCAAATGCAATATTGAATGTAGGGAGCCGTCGGATGAAAGAGATTTCTCTTTGTGGGCTTTCCATGATTGTTGGATGTTCTTCAGTCTTCACTCTTAATCTCAAACTGACCCTAGCAAGCCAGCAGCTCAGTGCTTCCCACTGCAATCACTGTGCATGTACTCTATTTCATAAATCCAGTCAGATTGCCAAGTTTTTTCTCAGGAAAAAAAAGGTAAAAGAAAGAGAAGCTGTGGAAACTCAGTTACAGTGACTCATACCAGCATTCTTTTGAATCCAGCAATTGCTTGCTCTGATCAATGGAGCATCTGAATACTTTTGCATTAAGTCTTTTGCTGTGTCTGCTCAAGACTGTGCTTACTCCTTATTGGATACTTGGGACAGATAAAACACGTTAAACATGAAAGAATTTTTAAATTAATGTTTTTTTTTTCTATAAATGTAATTCTTATTCTGGAATATTGTCATGATTAGAATGTTTTTGTAGGTCAGGATTAGAATGTTTTCAAAATTTTCTCATCCGTGTAGGAAGGAGGCAGTTTTTGGGGCTCTGTCTTCTAATAYGATCCATCTGAGATTCTGATCTCCCACTTAAGGATCACAACATAGCTGAAAATCGTGTTACACTCTGCTATCAGCTACAGTAACTGCTCATTTTCACCAAGTGTGGATAAATGTAAAATGTCCATTTCATCATCAGAGTCTGCTGATGGATATTGGATCTTTCAGTGCACAGAATTGATCCCAGTGCAAACACAATTTCCGTGATGGAATGCAAGGGGCAGGTATACTTCCATGTGATAATTATTATCCACGTTGGATGTATTCTTCACTGCTCCTTGAAGACCTGGCCACTACTGGCTGCCATTTATCATCAGGGAAGGCATTACTTTGTTGTGGGGTGTGGTCAAACCTAAAGGATTCAAAGTACAGCAGAAATAGCTGAGTGTCAGCAATGGACTTGTTGGTTTCTTTCATTCAGTTGGCTCTGATCCAGAGTTTGCCCGYTACGTTGCTGGGGTGAACCAGGCTATGCAACAGAAGAGGCAAGCACAGCATGTCCGGCGTCCAAGCACCACACGCGGCAACTGGCCTCTTCCTGATGATCCTCATAAAACCTGGCCCTTTCCTGAGTATTTCACAGAGGGGTAAGAGATTGGACAGCCTGTATGTTTTGGTATTGTAAGTTTATTTTGCACCCAGGCTTGGCAGAATGTGGGAATAGTGGGTGTTTTTTCCAGTTGCTGCTGCATCTGTGAAAGCTTCACTCCACTGTCAAGAGGGAGCAATGTGATCCCTTGCCTGCTTTGCTGATCCTGAGGCACTGACATGTTTAATGTCCAAGTACTGAAATTTCTTTGTGCTCTGAGGTCTCACCTGTGACAAAGACCCAGTCTGGACTAGACACTGTAATTACAAGGACTAATACAACTTTCTGTCTTGCAGTGATGTGACAAACAGCTGGTCTGGTACTCAAGGAGACTCTGCCAGCTCAAGTGATGAGACCTCCTCAGCTAACGGAGACAGTTTGTTCTCCATGTTCTCAGGGCCAGACCTCGTTGCTGCTGTAAAGCAGAGGAGGTGAGCAAAATGAACAGAAATACACCACTTTGTAAGATTCCTTTTGTTTCTRTATAATTTCATTTGAATAGCCAGCCAAAGGAAATTGCAGCCAATGCRACAAATCTACACAAACACGAGTTTGTGTACTACACTGGTGATGTGGACGGGGAGATTCCCAAAGTGAATTTTATTAGCAGCTTTCACCTTGTACAAACCAGCACCTGTGCAAACAGCCAGCTGTTCACTGAGGGTCAGGATGTCTAGAAAAGGTATGATGCCTTCCCTCTTCTGTGAGTCTCCTTTGGATGCCACTCTTGGAGCATTAGGAGATCCTCATTGAACTGGTTTTGCAAACGGCCTGGCTGCTGCTGGGCTGTGCCTGMCACAGTGTGGTTGGATGCCAGCGAGTGCCTTTCCTGGCCACAGCTCAGCTCCATGGCACTGGGAAGATGCTGCTGCTAACGTGGGGCTTATCTCACCTTGGCTGAACCTGCCCTTCTGGCAGTCAGAACTACACCCCTGCTTGGTCCTTTATTTCACGCAGTAGGAAGGGCAGGCCAAATAGCCTTCATAAATTATTTCAGTAATGGAAAAWACTAAGCCAGGATTTTCAACTACAAACAATCCATTTTTATCAGTAGTGTGAATTACTGCAATTCTGTTTTTCTAAGACTGAAGGCTCGGTGTCTTTGGAATCTCAGTGATTCCACAGCAGAGGATAGTTAGAACAGTAATAACAAAAGGCATAAGATGAAGCATGAATGCCAACCGAATTCCAGTCTGGGACTGTTCTCTCAAACTATTTTTCAGTCTTTTCTAAAAATAARATAAGGCCCAAATATTCTGGCTTTGTTTACAATCACAGAGTATTTTGGAATCAATACATAGATACAAGATTGCCCGTCTGCTTTTCAGTGAGTGGAAAAAGTCAGTGCCAGTTTCTCACAGATTCTGCCTGGATAGCTGTTTTTATATGTGTTGTCAGAAAGGCATCAACCAAAAGAGGAGCTGTTTTCTGAATCTTTACACTTAACCAAGACTTTGTAAGAGAGTGAACAAGAACTGAGTTTCAATGAATGTTAAATTGAAATGATTGGAAAAGAGCCATYTGATGAACAGAGAAAAAGTAGTAATTATTTGTATTGTTTAAAAAAGCAGCAGGGAAKGAAAACACAGTAACACATAAAGGGTGAATTAACCTGCCAAGCCAGTAAATAGCTACAGATTGATGGTAAAGCAGTTCATGGAGCAAGAAGAAAAGCCTGTGCTTTATTTAGTGCTCTAAAGAGCAGATGAAAGTTTCCAAAGAGGGTGCTTCATTGACTAAAAACTTCAGCTGAAGTAACAGCAATACTGTGTCCTGTTTTGCAGGAAGAAGAATGTTGTATAGGTGAGGGCCTGAGAACACACCAGAGCTAAAACTGGGCAGTAGGAGGAGGCAAAAGGGTTGAGTGTGCTAAAGCTGATCTGTAAAGGGTTGGTACCCATGGAAGCCTGATTAAAAAGAATCTGCTTTAATCTAAATACATGCCCTTAATCACCACTCCTAAAACAACAAAAAAAAATAAAAGAAAACAAAAAAAAGAAAAAAAAAAACCAAAAAAAAAAAAAAAAAAAAAAAAAAAAAAAAAAAAAAAAAAAAAAAAAAAAAAAAAAAAAAAAAACCCAMAAAAAGTAAAAAAAAAAAACCAAACAAACCAGAAACAAAAACGAAAAGCCTTCCAGAATGCACATGTGGTGAAGGACTTCTATTTTGATAACTAGGTGTTGGGTTACAAATTCAAACTGAAGGTAGAACATTTTCTTCAGTAAAATCCCTGGRCTACAGCAGATGTTGCTCAATTGTTCTTTTGTGTTGTCTGGAAAGTTATGGCTGAAAAGATATTTTAAAAAATCTAAAAAACAAAACAAACCCAGCAACAAGAGCAGGTAGCAGAAGAAAAACCGCAATTTCTGGCAGATTTCTTCAAAGTGAACAAAAGTCTATCCAAGCTTCCTTTTGCCTCTACAGAAATATTGAAGCTGTAGCTCCAAGAATTAGTGCACTGTAAAGTCCTTGACAGGACTCAGTAATCAATTTCCRTATTGCTGCTTTTACGTGTACTGAACAAAAAGTACATGAAACCTAATGTTTCTGAAAACACATGCACTGACAACAGTACTGTGGCTGCAAGGTACCACAGAATGAGCCACAGAATGGTCTGTGCCAGTGGCACATTAATGAAGGTGACTCATTTAAAAACAAAACGTGTCTCTCTCTTTCTGGGCAGAAAACACAGCAGTGGTGAACAGGAACCCAGCACTCTGCCATCACCTCCTCTTCTCTCAGCAGCAGATGACCGCAGTCAGGTGAGCTCAGCATGGCTTTGTTTGGTCCTTCTCCTSTTGGCATTTGAGGGTGGGTGTGCACAACACAAACAAGTGGAAAAGCATCTGTAGCTCCAGATTGCTTACTTCAGTGAAAACCTGAACCATCTGAACTCAAGTAGCATCAGATGCTTTTAATATTTAAACTTGGTGACTGACAAAATTGGATCATTTATCTCTTTCCCTTTTATGGGGTCCCACTGTGTGTCATGCTGAAGTCAATAAAAATCTTTTTCAACGGGCATATATTTTAAGAATTGAGAGTGCTATATAGAGTGCTATATATATACATAGTTAGTTCTGCTTTCAACTATAAACTAATAGTGTGAAAATATCTGAAGGCGGTGATAAGGTGACATGTTAAGTATTGTCTCAAAAAAGAAGTGTTGTTAAACCAAGCCAACCCYAAGTGATTTTGTTTTCCAAGGATAACAAGACCAAAACGTGGCCTCCCAAGGCCCCATGGCAGCACACATCCTCCGTGCCCAGCACGCTGCCCAGCCAGAGCACGTCCCTGTACCCCCTGAGCAGCCCCGTGAGCCAGTGGAGCGACACGGTGCAGATGCTGCAGTCGCCCATGTGGGCCAGCGAGTGCGCCCCGGCTGCCGSCATCTCCTCCAGCTTCGCCTACGCGCAGCAGCAGCAGCAGCCCCAGCAGGCTTCCCAGCACAAACAGATCAACAAGGGCTTTAAATCTTTCCCAGTAAAGCATGAACGCAGACCATCTTACCTGCACCAGTACTAACTGCTTTTCATACTGGAAAATGCAGCACAGGGCCAAATGAAAATTTTATTACTTTGATTCACAGTTGTGTGTTGGTTATACCCTGTTTTATCTCTTGATGTGGGATTGAGGGGGTTTGTGTGAGATAGACACTCTCGAATTCTGATTTACAGTGCTGAGCAAATATGGCCAATATGTTTGGTGTACATGAAACAGTCCAAAACTGTGATGTAGAAATGCTTCTGAAARTGCATAATTGCCTTTACTTTGAAGACTTTTTTTTCTAAAAAGAACTGCTGAAGGACTACCATACAAGAAACACTGAATTTTATAGCTATTTTTCATATAGATTTGTAGTTAAAACATCTTACTGAAAACCATTGAATATGTTGAAGCAAATATATAGGGGTCACTTTGCTCAACACTGTGTTTAAATTTATAAAGGACAAGCTGTAGACCTTTGTATTCTCCATTACGGCCTGTGGGCAGCTTTTTCTAAATGAAGTGCAACAGCAGCTTTTCCTGTGCCACACAAGCGAGTTCACTTGGGAACTGCTGCAGAAAACAGTTGCAAAACTGAGTTTTGTGGTAGTTTCCCTTCTCTAGGTGAAGATCAGCAGAACCACTCAGCCTTGTGTTGTCAACGTTATGTGAGCTGCTTGATGTAGGTGGCACTTGTGTGGACAGTGTGACCCTGGTTCCAAAAGCACCTATGTAGACAGTGTGACCCTGGTTCTCACACAGTGTTCTACAGCTGCATTTGGCCAAAGGCATTATCCACACGGTGCTCCTGCACTGTGGAAAGCAAAGCCTGAGAGACTACTTGCATTTATTTAAAGTCTTATTTCAGATGCTACAGTTGATTAAAAATTGTGAGCTGGCTCAGAAGATACTAGAACTGAAATGTGGGGTAGCAGTTAATTAAAAGAACATTATTTTTTTTAAAAGGATAAAGTAATTATTTGCAGTCAATATGTGCCATTAAGTGAACCTGTGGAATTAGGAATAATCTTCCAACCAAAGTGGATTGGGGAGTGTGACTGGTGCTTACAAATTGAAGAACAATGGTAAATATATGTATACCTATCCCACTGTATATGAATTGAGATTACAGAAGATTCTTTATATAGTTAGAGCTTATTTAAATTTTCATACTTCATCTTTGAAAGAGTCTAAAAACCACAATATTTTCTGGTATAAGAGTTTCAACAGTATTAATCTTATTTTTGTATTTTTCTTAAGTCATATCATTCTAATATGTTAACTACTAGTAAAATGGGTTATTAGTTCTAACTACATAATTTTTCAATGAAGATAAAGCACATTTTTTGGTTTTGGTTTTACAAACTAAGTACATCTATATAAAAAGATACCAAAAAATAAATACATTATATATATATATATATATAAATAAAAGGTATACACAACACTAAAACTATTAAACATTTGGGTATTTAAAACCCATCCACCTTTTTTGTTTGTATGGTGACGGGCTCTATTTGCAGGCCCAGATTGTTACCTTTTGTGCTGTTTGAGGATGCCAATGTTGCCTGTATTTATGATATTGTCACCATGTTTTCTGAAACTTCATACTTACCATGTTTACAAACATTTGTTTGCTGTACATAGACTTTTTACAGTAATGTGCTTTGCACAATCAGTGTGGCTTCTGTCTGTAAATTGTTAATGGTCTGTACTACTATAATTTTGAAAACCCTCCACTGAAAATGTTAGTGGTTATTTAACTTGATGAATGGTTTTGAGTTTCCTAAATCTTGTTGTTTAGATCTAATATTAAATCCCAAATTTGGTTGTACTTACTTGGTTATTCATACTAAGACCAAATGGAAGTTAATGAAAACACTTAATTTTGAACTTTTTTTCTAACAAGTGCCAAAATGATTGCTATAGTTTTTGCAATTTATTCATAATTACAAATGCTGGCAAGTTTCTGGACCTACAGAAGTGAATTGCGAAAACAAAGAGAGTTTGTCTGCATTTTGACCATGTGGGTGCTACTCTGTCCTTTGCTTCCGATTGTTCTGAACACTGGTAATTTTAAGAATTGTTGCACTTGGCAAATGAGTCTTGCCCTTAAACTTCACTTACACTGCCAAGTGCAAGGGTTTGGTGCTTAGTTAACTTACCCTTATTGCAGTGCTTCTTGTGAATAGCTAATGCTTCTGAACTGGAACTGTACAGTTTGTATTTTAAAGCTTCTGTAAAAGTAAACTATTTGCTTTATTAAAGATATACATTTAATAGGTCATACCTGTTTAAAATATGCACCTTGCTGAAAATGAGCAGCACCTTAAACTGTAACTTTGGTTTGTAAACAAAGATCTTATTTCATTAACATGGGATTATTTAACAGTTTGAAAATTGTCAGCTGCCTACTTACTGACTCTATCATATAAAAGTGAACTTTATGCACAGTACAGTCTTTAAAGCTGCTTTCTCAAGTGCCAGCACAGAAGAACATGGTACAGACAATGTCTCAACAGTCTTTCAATCAGTAGTGCAGATGAACATTGCCAAAATCCCATTACTTGACTTTTCAGGAATCAGAGTAAGCYAAAAGTAAACTCTATTGCCCTCCCTGCTCTGATCAAGGCTCTTAGGTTTGTGTTTTAATTGTGGCGCTGGAGTGCTGTATGSAGGGTGTGCAAAGCTGCCTTCTTCCTTCCTGCACAGGAGCACACAACCATGCAGCTAGCCAGCAGTGCTGACAGGACCCAGGAAGCACACAACTCATTTTGATTATGCAAGAATTTACTTGTTTACAGCACATTTCAAGCACAGAGGAAAAGCCTTGATAAACTTAGGCAAMAGCTTGTTGCAATAAAGGCTTGGTTTCTCCCTTGCACCTAATTGCTGCTGCACCAACTAGTCAATCCCACTAGTCCTAGGAAAGTTAACATTTCTGTTAAATGATTTTACTAAATCAGTGAGCAGTTCCTTTGTTAATRTATATTCATTTACAACATACTACARTTTACAAAGAACATCTTTATTAAGTGCAGTTCTTCCGATACAGGATACAAAAGCACCTACTGCTTTTATATATGCAACTCAAGCCTGACTTTGTCATGTTGGAGGTAGGAGTGATCTAGCRTAAGGTTTGCCTTGTTATTATAGAACTTTACTCATTACACAGGCTCCRATTCCCATAGTGCTGTCCTGACAACCAGGCTATTCTCAGAAGTATGCTGAATTGCATTTTTCAGAGGGAAAATGGAATGTCACAATTATCACTCTTAAGCTGTATTAGTTACAGTAACAGGGGAAAAGCTGGCCTAATACTTCATTGAAAATTACATTCACATTTTAAACACAAAAGTACAAATAATTTTTTTACCTGCTTTTTTTAAACCCACACCTTCTTGGCTCTCTAAGTGGGAGTCTAAACTATTGCTACAGCCTCTGAAAGCAGCACTGCTTGTATCCAGGAGTTGCAGTCAGTCTACAGGCTTCTGCATGCTGGGCGGAGTGGCATCACCAATCGTAGCTAAATAAATGAGGTTTCTGTGCAGGATATGCTGGTATCTATGAGAGGAGGAAACACAGGATCTGGGAGACATCTTTTTTAACCAACTACTCATACTGGCACTTGTGTAATCTCATCAGAATTTGCAGTTACGGAAAAAAATAGCAAACTAGAATAATAAATCAGGGGAAAYATGTTCTGAATGCCAGTACAGCAAACTGAACTGCACTCTGTGGCCGGGCACCTGCTGCGATGGGAAGCAGCACATTCAGCTTGCAACCCTGAAAGCTGCAGAACGGCAGCGGAGCAGGATCCGACAGAGCTGCGTGCCGTTCCAGTCTGAGCAGCTGCAGCGGCTCCAGCGCAGGTTCCGGGGCTGCAGACCCGCCGTCTGGCTGCCCGGCTGTGACACCGCTCTGTGCAAAACACACGGGCTGCGAGGGCACAGCGAGCGCCACATGACACTGAGCAAACACCCTGACCAAGGCCACGGTCACTTCGTGCTTTATATAGCTCTGAAAATTACTTAGAGGAAATCCCTTTGTAAGCCCAGAGGCTTTTTCTTCTAGCGACAGGAAAGCTCTGGGAGCTCGAGCCGCATTTCACTCCCGTTACCGGCACCTGGTGCCCCGCCCGTCCACACCGGTCACTTACTGCACGCAGTCGGTGGCGCGGCCCTTGCTCTGGTACTCCACGATGCACCGGATCAGCTGGTCGTTCTCCTCCAGCAGCTGCGGCACAGAGCGCCGTCACCGCCCACCCCGGTGTCCGCCCCGCCCCGAGCGGCAGATCCGGCTCTGCCCCAGCCAGGCCGGACCGGCCTTGCCTCACCGTCGGACTCAGTTCGGGCCCAGCCGCGGCTCCGCCCCGGCCCAGTTTCGCTCACCTGCTGCAGCGTGTCCTGGTTCACCTCGGCCTTGCCGCGCAGCCGCTCGGGCACGAACGCCACGGACATGGCGCCGGCAGCTGAGGGGTCCCGCCCCGCCCCGGGCCCGCGCAGGCGCGTTGGGTGCAGCGGTGCCCGCGCAGCGCCGCTCCCGCCCGGCACTGTCCCAGCCTCCGCCCCGCGCCCTCTGCCGCCACAACAAACCACCGCCCACGTGCCGCTTGTACTGAACAGTTTATTCTGTTTAAAAAAAAAAAAAAAAAAAAAAAAACCAAAACAGAAAGCCTGGTCGGGCGGGGCGGGGCCACCCAGGGCTTGTCCCCGCCCGCAACTCCCGGGCCGGGTATTTACAGCTGGAACACCTCAGACAGTAAAGAGTTATTGCAACAGGACAGCACTTGCCTCTACGGTCAAAAATCTCAACAGGTGTTCAGAATCATGACTTGTGGATCCCAAAAGGCAGTTGTTAAACATGCAAAAACATTACTAAACAATATTATCTAACTTCTACAGCTGTCAAATACTTGACCTTAATAAGGAAACCAATTACAAAATACTTCCTTGTAGTGCTATACAAAAGTTATAAAATTAAGATTCTATCAACCACTTTTAAATATTCCAATTTTTCAACAGTGCAGTTTTCCACATCTTTATCACCGCTGAACATTTTGAAGTAAAAAAAAAAATCAGCAAATTAGATCAAAGTGATGTAATCTTTGGATCCCTTTATTCCTGTGGCCTTCATATACRTACACAGACACAAATGACCAGGTTTCTATTTCAGCATATCAGAAAGTTGCAACTAGTCATCCAGAACTGGCAAAAAGTCCTTACTGTCATTTGTGACTTCGCCATCTTAGARCCAGAGTCTCAATGTCTCCAAGCTACGGTCTATCAAAATGCAAACAACTTCAAACACTAAGAATTCTTTAAATTGCTCATGTCTACAGGTATTACAACAAAGTTAACGTTTCAAGAATTGACAAATGGAGACAGACTTTCATCCCAGGCATTCCAGGAGAATCACCAACTCGTGTGCCTGGTCCATTATTAAAAAAAGTTAATATTTCTCACTAAGTAAAATTAATTGCAAATCTTGACGTATGAAAATTGCTTTTCTCCTTTTTTTTTTTTTGAAAATATCTCCTTAACTTGGTCAAATCCTGTGATATGCCAGAAACTACAAAATCAAATTCTTGCAAGAGCAGTGAAGCGTGTATCCAGTTTCATGTAATGGAAGAACATTTGCAAAACTTCATTATAGTCAAATATAAAATCAAACATTTAAGCCTGAAAAGCTGCTAAAGAAAAAAAAAAMCAACTAATTCAGTGTTCTTCAGCATATCAACTTCTGCAATAACAGTATGTTTACCGACTTAAAAATGTTTATTCTTTAAAAAATTAGTTGCTTTTTATACAGCTATACAAAGTTTGTAATGTTTCTTTGGCAATGGGATATAATGGAATTTTACAACTATATAAAAACTTTCCTTTGCCTAAGAAACAGTATTTACTGTGTGTACATATCTGACTGACAAAGCAAGTTTTCTACTGTCCAGCACCCTAGTTGATACAAGAACAACTACCTCAAAAGGGATTTTACAGGATTTCCAAAAAACAACCTTCGGTGGGTCAAAACACTCACAGTATCGACGGCCTTCTGCATACAATTGTCCTTACAACTTGAAGCAATTATCAAATACAGTTTAGTAATAAGAAAAATCCTTTCAGTGATGAAAAAATACTTAAACTCCATCGAAGTACTGCTTATAATTAACTATACATAAGAAATTACTTATCCTTCTGTCTCAAATATATTTAATGCTTACTGTTTTCAAAGATGGCCATTTCTCAAAAGTAACTGCATTACACCCCTTTGAAATTAAATAGTTAAATCCCAGTGCTGGTGACAAGTATACAGCAAATTAACTTCATTCTTTGCAGAGATCAAAACTAATTCTCTGATTCAAGAAGATCTAGACGTTCACCTGGTTTCAGCTTTCTCGCAGACTACGCAGCAACTTTGTTGTCTTTCTAGAGGGAACAAAAACACAACTTTAAAATTCATTTTGCAAAACAAACCCCACAAATTAATCTGGGCAACAGTCCTGGGAGTAGCTCTGCTGTGCTGGCTATTGCCCATCTCCTGCAGCAGAAAGGGTCTCCTTTTTCTCAATGTGATCAGGCTGGCATCTGGTCAAACCTCCTCAGTCTGGCACCTGCAGAGTGGAGCAGCTCATCACCCTGACTACAAGCACAGAACAAATCCTCAGCCCTTACAGCACCTCCTACTCATCTGGAAGGTAGCTAAACTCTTTTGTTCAGAAATTCAAATTGCTAATCTTCAATCCCTCATTTCCACTAATGTTCAGCTACCAAAAGTTTCTTTAAAACACAGGACTAACTGTTGTAAACTAATCAAAAAAAGTTGAGGGATCTGTCCCTCAACAAAGAGAAATCTGCTGTGATGAAACTTCCTTTTTTATTTAAAAAAATTAAAACTACCGGAAATCTGAGATTTTTGTTTGCAGAACTCTAATTGCTCATGTAGTAAAGTACCAGAAATTGTTCTGTCCCAATCAGACCTCTAAAAGCCTAGGCTACCTGAGCCAATCTGGATAGTTGTCTTTGTTACTGATTCTAACCAGTACACCAATCTACAGGCTTTGTGCCAACTCGTTCACAAAGAATTCAAAAGTTTGTTGCACACTGGAAGCAAGTTAAATTATTCCCTCTCATTCTTTCCATTTTACAGCATTGCTTAGAAAAATGCTTGCAATTTACATTTGCAACACTTGCATTCAATCTGTAGAACATTTTTCCCCTCTTTTTTTTTCCTCCCTAATACCAGCTATCAAACAGCTACTTGGGGCAGGTGAAGAAAGGCAACCTTTATTTTTGGTTGCTGTTGAYAGTAAAATGATGCTATGTAACCAAAGTTTCAGCATCACTTTCAATAAAGTAGCTCAGAGTCCGTGCAACATCCTATTACAGAAATTCTAGTTCAACACCAAATCTAAAAGCAGGAGATTTTTATCCACTCATTTCCATGAACAATGGATGGGGTCATAGTAACATGAAGTACAACTTTACCCTATATTCAAAGTCAGCAAACTCCCTGCCTCCACGGCCTCCTCTGAATCCACCGCGAAAGCCGCGGGGGGCGGTGAAGCCGCCTCTGGCGCCCCCTCGGCCTCTGCCCCCTCGGAAGCCAATGACGCCCCTGCCCCTGTAGCCACCGCGGCCGCGGTTGGGGCGCAGGGGGATGCCAAAGGTCTCGGCGTTCAACCGCCGCTCCTCGGCCCAGGTGGGTCGCCGCTCTCTGCCACACAGAACAAACACAGTGTCAAACACTTGGGAAGGAAGGGAGAGGTGCCAGAAARCCCGTGAGATTAAAAATGATACATTAACCATACTGTAAATCTTCACAYTATSCCTTCTGCAAGAACTTAGGCCTCTRCCACAGTTCACTGGACTCATCAAGAAGGAACATGTTAAAGAGTCATTAATTAGATATTAATTATGCTCTAAGAGTTTCCCATATTGACGAGCATACTCTGTATCTTCTACACACAGCATCATTTAAAGCAAGAAACAGTTTACAGCTGCAGATGTTATTTTATCTAGCTGCGAGTACAACAAACAACGCCCCCTCCCCCTCTTGCAAGTCAAAATAGGTCAGCAATGCACATCATCGTGTCTAATAAAAAGGCAGCAGTAAAAGATAAGCTTTAATTTTCCTGAAATACTAACTGCCCATTTGAACAACACTGCCAGCCGAGACAGTTATGTAATCTGCTTAGAAACCATTACCAAAGCAGGATCGTAATTGATTTAACTAAAGTATTCATTTAGGGGCAAAGCAAAACAAACAACCTCCCCCCAACTTTAGTAAATCTGGAAATGAGATTGTAGAGCCTGTGCATTAAGTTTCAAAAGCATGGGTCTGTGATGCCTTAAAGTATCTTCCTCTGAACATATTGCACCCGCCCATAAAGAAGTTTTGTGCTTCGTATTCCTGTTTTATTTTTGCCTGCTGCATATGGAAATAAGCTSTAATCACCTTTGATTCAGAGATGATTGCAATGAGTAGCACTGACAGTACACCTTTATAAACATGCATTAAGCAGACTAACAAGATTCTCCTTGCAGGCCATACCTATTGTCATCACAGGAAATGTTATCAAAGAAGGATTTGGTTTTGTCATAGTAGCAGTTGGGCCCAAGTGGATCTTCCTCATCGGCATTCCCTTCACTATTTTGGGTATCAACACCTGAGTCACCTTTGTCTTCTCCATTTACAGGCTTCTCTGGTTTCTCAAGTTTGTCTTCTGGAAAATAAAAAGTAAACAGAAGCCTAAAAAATCCAGCACTGTTAACTTATTCTCAGCCAGAGAAAAACTATACTGAATGCTCAAAACCASAAAACTCCCTCCCTAATTTAATATGGAAGTCAAATAATTGACACAGATTAGGATGCTTTGCTGCTGCTGTCTGGAATTTCCATGTCCTCAACGCTTCCTGTGGGTTTACTTAACAAAAAACCCTGTGGCAGAACGAATTTGACAGCCATCTATTTTCTCCCCTYTTAGTTACCTCCTTCCCAGGCTTAAAAGCCTCATTCACTCAACCCTCCTGAAAGCCATCCCATGGTTTTGTTCATCCCCGTTGCCCATCTCCTTTGTCTTCTGGCTTTGCAGTTATCTCCTTTGAGATGCAGGGCCAGCATACTGACCTTATGATGTATATCTTTCCTAATAATGTCTCAATTTCAACTTGATGTTTTGACTGGTACTGAAAACAAGCCTGACAATTCAACAAAATTAGTTATTACTATTTTCAAATCTTATTCCTATTACTATCTTCAAACACCATTCCCAAATGTTTACAGCTTTTATCTCATGAAGCTGTGCATAAGCTTCAGATAGCCAACTCAACCTTTGCACACCACACACAAGAATTACCACTCTCACAAACATTTCTACAACTATTTATAGTTAGCTGTCCCTTTTCTCTTTATTATTCTGAAAAAAAGCATTATCAACAGCATACCATCAACTCACTGAAAAATAATCCAGAAAAACAGGCAAGCACCACAGGACAGATCTTATGGGACTCAACTGGTGCTTTTACTCTACACTGAAATCTRACCATTTATTCCTACTTTTTGTTTCCCAGCTTTTAGCCAATTACTCACTGAAATGAGGAACTGACAGTATTAACCTGTAACAGTTTTGTCCAAAAATAGTAGCAGCAGTGTAACAAACAGGTGGCTGGTCACAAGAGAATGAGGTAATCATAACAGAAGCCTGCTAGAAAACAAGTGCTGGCAGCATGGTTTCTAACTACTGTGTTCCTTTGGGAAAGGATAAAAGCAAGGAAATGCTAGAAACTTTCARACAAACTCTCCTGCACACTACAGCGAAGTTCTGATCCCAAACTCCTGRWTTTTTGTTTGCTTTTGGCCTGTAATTGACATTATAATTTTGGTCTAATAATCGAAAACCTAAAAGATAGGTTTTCTTTTATTGCATCCTTTCCAGAACTTTAAGGTATAAAATGTTATTGGGACTTCTGGTCAAGTAATCTGCATTTTTAACAGACTTGTTAGAACTTGACATATGGTATTTGCTAGTTAAAATTCATTAAAAACTCAAATAGTGGTCCAAGTATTCAATTAACATATGATCCCAGTTTACTTATTAATTGGTTTTTAAATTTAATTTTTAATGACAGCAAACAAGACTTAATACTATATGCCTTTTAAGAGTTGTTCTCCAAGGTAGGATCAAAACAGCAAGACACAGTTTTTCCACATTCAAATCTAAAGCAAAAATTGGTTTACCTTTTAATTTAAGTTTATTATGAAATTCTCTATCAATTTCCTCCTTGTTGAATTGTGCATTTGC